TATGAACTAATTTTTCCAAGCCCGTATACTCTATCTTACACATTAGCCATGTGTGGGGAACTGTGTCAAACGCTTTTGCAAAATCCAAGTATATCTAGTCCACAGCCTCTGTCCAAGGTTTTGCTCACCACCTCATGAAAAGAAATCAGATTTGTCTGACAACTTCTGTCTTTCAAAATGTTTTTTTTCTAGCAAAAACCCATCTATGTGGTCCTTTATTAAACTCTCCAGTATCTTCCCAACTATAGAAGTTAAACTAACGGGTCTACAGTTACTTTGTATACTTGTGCTTTGGAATGTAATTCTAAGAATTTGCTTGTATAATGTAAGAAATATCTTATTGATTGACAACTTTGTGTAAAAAATACATTTTCTATTTATTTCCTCATTGGCCAGAAACTTGTAGCAGAAAAAGGGGATCTCCAAAAGACTCACCATGCCTCTTAGTAATTATCTCAGAGGTTCTGGTTTGCAAAATGTCATAATTTTGTGGGCATTTCAACTGTCCTGGCCCTTTAGAGTCTCAGGAAATGTGATAGGTATTCAGGCAAACTAGATCTGTATCTATCTAGAGTAATCTATGCCCCCAGTAGGTCTGAAGGTGCTCCTTGGATTTTAGGCCCTTCTAGACAACAAAGCACTCTCACACATGTTTTATCCCCATACTCAGGAGGTGTGAAATGTATTTTGGGGTGTTATTGTGAGCATGCCTATACTGTGTGTTAAAAATTATTCGGGGGAAAAAAATTCATAAACATTTTTGTGACAAAAATATACGCTTTCAAAGAACTCCCCATGCCTTTTAATACCTTGAACTGTCTACTTTTCCAAAGTTGGTCATTTTGGGGGGTGTTTGTATTGTCCTGGCATTTTAGATCATCATGAAATGAGATAGGCACTCAGAATATTAGAACTGATCAATTTAAAAAATATAGATTTATATACCATATACAGTATATGTAAATATAGATAGAGAACTTTAACACAATCTAAATAGTATACAGGTAATAGTTCTTTTTTTAACCAAGAAAATGCATGCAAATTAATACATTTTGGCCTACATTTTAATAACTATACTAAAAAAATGAATAGGGGAGTGGGTAGGGCGGCTCGCACACACTCGTGTGCCCCCTACTTGGTAATGCAAATCACATATATATATATACATGATTTTGCGCAGCCCTGCCACCCTCTAGCAGTATTTCTGCTACAGGGTGGTTGGAAAGTGGTTAAAATGTAATAATTTATGGCAAAAAGTAAATTTTTTCATATTTGCATTTACAACCACTTTAAATACCAGCAAAATAAATAAATTTCATTCGGGTACATTGTTGCATGACTGTATAATTGCCAGTCAAAGCTTCAGAGTGCTGAAAACTGATAAAATGGCCTGGACAGGAAGGGGGTTTAGCATGCTAGTTTTCAAGTAGTTAGCTTAAGCCAAAGTCTTGTTTCACTGGAGTGCTTACCTTTAAAGACTTGACAATGTATTGTATTAACCTCAAGACACATATTCTCCATAAAAGTTTAAAACTAATAAGCTGGTGAGTTCTTGACTACAATTTATACTAAGGTCAGGTTCACATATGTTCGGCCATGTGGGCTGCGGTATGTGCGGGCACAAGAACCCATCATTTGAATGGACTCCCATATACTGGGACATGCAGGGAAGAAGTCCCTGCACTTCTTCGGAAATCGCAGCCCGCACGGGAACTGAGGTTCCCAGTACGGTTGAGATTTCCACTGCGGGCAGCATGCTAATAGAATTAATTGCACCCGCCCGCGGGTCCCGCATTTCCTCTGTGTGGGTGGTGTGGCTGAAGGTATTTCTGTGGGTCCCACAGCGGCACCACCCGCACAGATGTGAACCAAGCCTAAAGCCAGCTTTAGGTAATCGGGTTCATTTCTTGCTATTGCTAATATTATTACAGGTATTTATTTAGTGCTGACAATTAATACATTGCTTTACATCCCGGTCCTCAAGGATCTTTGAACTAAAGTCGCTATTTCACATGCACACATACATATACTAAAGTTTAGATAGGAGCCGATAAACCTATCAACATGACTTTGGAGTGTGGGAGGAAATCTATGCAAGCTCTATTCTCCCTAAAACTGTATTAGCTGTGTCCCTGACCCTGGATTTAAAATAGAATCACAGGAAAAAATGTGTAAGAGCCCAGCTACACTCAAATGCTTTGCTGTGCATCAAAACTGCTAATGCTGCTTTCACAGTGCAGCTTGAGTGCTGTAGTGCCTTCAGTGGTACACAATGGAAATATAAATTAGCCCCTTTGTATTTCATGTTCTCCTCAGGTAATATCAGTGCAATGTAGCAAATAATGTTGGTTTCTGCCAAGGAATACATATACCATCCATTCACTCATAGCATTATGCTTATATTCATTATAAAATACTATAACAAAAACGATATCCTTAGAGCAATACATAAAACCATAATAATATATTGGAGTGTTAAAATGAAAAGACAGACATACCTATTTCAGAAATTGATTGCCTCTGGTAACCTGCTCCAAAGCCACAGTATCTTTTTTTGTTCACTCAAAATGAATACTTTGGTATAGTTAACCACATCCTTACCGCGCTATAGCCAAATGATGGCTACAGCGAGGTTGTCCAGTTCTGGGAGGGTCTCATATGATGTCCTTCCAGAACAAGCCCCCAGCGGTGCGCACCTGGCGATCTCCATGATCGCTATGTCCTACGGACACTGGTGATCACATGATGAGGTAAAAGGCCAATCACAGCGGCCTTTTACCACATGATCACCTGTGTCCAATGACACAGCAGATCACAATGTAAATACAGTTGCCAGTTATCTGCAGCACTTTCCTCACACTGTCACAGCGTGAGGAAAGTACTGCTGATAACTGGAAGCTGTCACAGAGCAGATCAGCACTGCTAATCAGTGCCCTGCAGTGCCAACCAACAGTGTCACCCACCAGTGCCCAACAGTGCTGCCTATCAGTTGCGCCCATCAGTGCCACCTGTCAGTGCCGCCTATCAGTGCCCATCAGTGCCACCTATCAGTGCCCATCATTGCCGCATATCAGTGCAGAATCATCAGTGCCTCCTCACCAATGCCCACCAGTGCGGCCTCATCAATGCCACCTCATCAGTGCAGCCTATCAGTGCCCATCAGTGCTGCCTATCCGTGCCACCTTATCAGTGCCTATCAGTGCTGCCTATCAGTGCCTATCAGTGCCCATCAGTGCTGCCTATCAGTGCAGCCTCATCAATGCACATCAGTGAAGGAGAAAAATTACCTGTTTGCAAAATGTTATAATAGAAACAAAGAAAACTTTTTTTTTCAAATTTTTTGCTTTTTTTTTTTTTTTTATAGTGCAAAAAATAATACACTCATTGGTGATTAAATACCACCAAAAGAAAAGCTCTATTTATGTGAAAAATTATAAAAAGGTCATATGGGTACAATGTTGAATTGTCATTCAAAGTGTGACAGCTTTGAAAGCTGAAAATTGTCCTGGGCACATAAAGGGTAAAACTGCCCAGTAGGCAAGTAGTTAAAGTGGAACTTCACTCACTCAATCAACATTGACTATTTTAATTCTTATGCTGCTAACACTAGTAAATAGATAGGAAAGTATATCATATTTACTTATCCAAATTTTTGTTACATGTCTTCAGTTGCTTCCTGGCTTCCTCCCTAGGCAAATGATGCCACACATCCCAGCAGTCTTTAGGAGGGGAGGAAGGGTTTTCAGCTCAGCCAATTCCTGAGATAAGGACAGATGGATTCCAGGAAGTAAATGCTACATGAATCATCTGCCTTACTCAAGATGGTCATTGCCAGAAATGCTAAGGAGTGTTTTTCAAAATTATTTCTTAGCAAAATAAAGCATGGAGACATGGATGGATGGGTGACTTTGTTTTGAAAATTAACAATGAAGTAAATAGGATTTTTGCTTTGTGATGCTCAGATGCAGTGCAGTTCCACTTTAAGTCAATATGTCTCATAAAGTCATGCCTTTTATAAATGATTATCATACATTGCATCATATGGGTTCCCTGCCATCCAGATGCCTCCTTCTGTGGCCTGGCAATTAAGAGTAGCAACATATTTAATTTTTCATTGCAGTGCTCAGCAAGAGACCACGGTGACCATTGCTGCTTGTAATCCCTTAAATAACATTCTCTCTTCACTTTCATTAACAGACAAGGATGCCACTGTTAAATGTCAAGAATAATTCAACAAAATATTTTTAGGTAACAGAAAAAAAACAGTGGTAAATTTTCTTTCAAACAAATGTTTTACCTGGGTGAGCATGTCAAAACAGTCTCATAATATTAAAGCAGAATGAATGGCAAATGCTAAATACACTATTGAAATGCATACTTTATACAGTGTGTGAATTGTTATTTAACAACAAATTAGTATATCTGCTCTGCCGATCAATTCTTTGTTACAGCTGCCACCAAAACACCTATTGTTGGAGCTCAGAGGGAGCAGTAATGTCACCCCTTTGTCATATAACTGCGCTCAAGCCTGCTGATTGGCCATGAGAAATGTATCATGTAATATCATGTAATCCCTGCATAGGATTTACCCCCTCCCTGACCAGGCCATTTGTTGCGTTATGGCACTGCTTTCTTTTAACTGACAATTGCGCGGTCATGCAACGCTGCACCCAAATGATATTTACATCCTTTTTTTCCCACAAATAGAGCTTTCTTTGGGTGGTATTTGATCGCCTGTGTGGTTTTTATTTTTGTGTGCTATAAACAAAAAAAGACCGACAATTTTGAGGAAAAAAAAAACTATATTTTTGACTTGCTATTAAACATGTCCAGTAAAAAATTTTAAAAAATCAAATTTTGTCATAAATTTAGGCCAAATGTTGTTGCTAAAAAAAAATTTCAAAACGTGTAAACTAATTGGTTTACGTGAAAGTTATAGCATTTACAAATGGTGGTATAGACACTGGAATTTTTTTTTTCATACTAGTAATAGCGGCAAGCAGAGACTTATAGCGGGATTGTGGTGGGCATTATGACACTGGGGGGGAACTGAATTGGTGTCACTGACATCCCCAGTGACACCAATACAGTGATCAGTGCTAATAAAAAGCACGGACACTGTACTAATGGCACTGGCAGGAAGGGGTTAACATGTGGGCGATCAATGGGTTAACTGTGTGCTGTGTGCTGTTTCACAGTAAGCTGTGCCTGTGCTTTCAACTGTAAGCACACTGGTTTGTATGGCTCTGCTATGCAGAGCCATACAAAGCAGTGTGCTGGTTCTGACAGAGGAGAGAAGTGTACTGTTTACATACAGTTCTCTTCCCCCGTCGGTAACACTCGGCAATCACCGGGTGCCGGCGAGAGATCACCGGCTGGGACCCAGTGACTGACAGCCAAGGCCGCAAATAGCGGCGCGAGTAGGGTGCGCGCACTCCCTACACAGAAATGCAAAATCACGTATATATACATGATTTTGTGCACACCTGCCACCCTGTAACAGTATTTCTGCTACAGGGCGGCAGGAAAGTGGTTAAACAGACACTATCGTGCTGCAAAACATCAGCACCATGTACAATATATGGTCTGAAAGTGACCACAGTAGTAAAAAAATCACATATGTATTTGACCAAATGCAAAATACAGAAACAAATACATTCTAGGTTGGATATAATGTAATCCAATTCACTACAGATCACCCCAAATCTATAATTTGTAGATCAAGAAGAGGCCTAGATTTTTATATTTTATCCACTGTCCTCAAATTATCACAGCTAGAGATAAATGAATTGGTCTGTATGAATGTAGATTTCTACCAAATAACCTCAAGATGTGACTGAAGGACTTTGGATTTTTAAAAGTTTACTCCTCACCAGCAAGGAGATGCATAGGAAGGGCAATCTTGGACAAAAGGTTTCCAACCAAGATCATATATGAATACTTAATGTAATCCTGCTTTTACTGTTGATGTAATGAAGGAATGATTTAACTAATGTCATTGTCTAATATCAACCGCGATGCGGAGGGTCAGTGTACAATGTTACATAGTGGTCAAAGTCAGCAGTTCTCGAACTGGGTGTGAAACAATATGTACTAAATTAGCACTCCCTATTCACTGGCAACCTTGGAATGTAATTAGTGTTCTGGAAATCATTGCCTCACAGTTATCATTTCCTGTCCGCTGGCTTCATAAAGCACTGATTCTGTAACCTATGAAACTGGGATGAACATTATAAAAAGAGGTCAGTTATATGAATAATACCATTTCCCTACTTACCTACCCATCCCATGCAATGAGATTTTGTCTGATAGAAATGTAGGGTGTGGTGACAAATGTAATTTATGTTAAGCTCTATAAAAATAATTCCCTTTCCAGAAGCTCCTTTTCTTATTTCTTCAATGAAAGGAAATGTCCACTTAAAAGTGTATAGAGGAGGAAGCTCTGATTTCAGTGCTTGAAATACAACGTGGAAAGTACTAATCTATGTTTTCAGCATTTTTAGGCCAAATGAGGATTATCAGCTTGTGCCCTAAATCTTCAGAACAAAAATACTACTACCATTACCTCCAGTTTTCTCAGAAGCTCCTATCATACATAATAATTGTAAGTGCATATTTAATTCTGCGATTCATGCTTCTTAAACTTTCAATGAGTTAAGAATTTTCCAAAATTCAACAAAATCAATTAGGAAACTAATAAAACTAATAATCACTTTTAATAATTGGAAACTAAAGCTCACATCTTCATATTTAGAGATGAGCGAATCGAACTAGGCGAACCGGAATTCGAGTCGAATTTCAGGAAATATTCGATTCGTGTCGAAACCGAAATTTTGCCTACTTCGGTCGGTGCGCGAATCGAACATTTCCCGATCAGCCGGCAAAAGTGTCCCTGCAGTGAGCTCCGCTATTTCTGACAGTTCTCTGACAGAAGGAACACATGTTTAGCGGTTGAAAACATTGTATCTATTAGTTTACATTTAGGATACAGATGTTTCAACCACTGTACATGTGAAGAAGTTGTGAGAGAACTGTCAGAAATAGAGGAACTCTGCACATGCCGGCTTGGAATTATTCTTCTTTTCATCCTACTTCTTCTTCTTCTTCATCCTCAGAAGAAGAGAAGATGAGGATGAGGATGAAGAAGAAAGAAGAAGAAGAAGAAGAAGAAGAAGAAGAAGAAGTAGGATGAAAAGAAGAATAATTCCAAGCCGGCAAAAAGTGTATGTGCAGAGTTCCTCTATTTCTGACAGTTCTCTCACAGCTTCTTCACATGTACAGCGGTTGAAACATCTGTATCCTAAATGGAAACTAATAGATACAATTTGTATCTATTAGTTTCCATTTAGGATACAGATATTTTCAACCGCTGTACATGTGAAGAAGCTGTGAGAGAACTGTCAGAAATAGAGGAACTCTGCACATACACTTTTTGCCGGCTTGGAATTATTCTTCTTTTCATTCTTCTTCTTCTTCCTTCATTCTTCCTCATCCTCATCCTCATCCTCTTCTTCTGAGGATGAGGATGAAGAAGAAGAAAAGAAGAATAATTCCAAGCCGGCAAAAAGTGTATGTGCAGAGTTCCTCTATTCTGCAGATACACTTAGAGGAGCTCTGCAGATACACTTAGAGGAGCTCTGCACATACACTTTTTGCCGGCTTGGAATTAATCTTATTTTCATCCTACTTCTTCTTCTTCTTCTTCTTCTTCTTCATCCTCATCCTCAGAAGAAGAAGAGGATGAGGATGAGGATGAAGAAGAAGAAGAAGAAGTAGGATGAAAATAAGAATAATTCCAAACCGGAAAAAAGTGTATGTGCAGAGCTCCTCTAAGTGTATCTGCAGAGCTCCTCTAAGTGTATCTGCAGAATAGAGGAACTCTGCACATACACTTTTTGCCGGAAACCGCTGTATGGAGTGAATGTCCCAGAACTGTCAGAAATAGACTATTTATGACAGTTCTGGGACATTCACTGCATACAGCTGTTTTAACCGCTGTATGGAGGGAATGTCATGGAACTGTCAGAAATAGACTATTAATGACAGTTCTGGGACTGTCCTTCAATGCAGCGGTTGAAACATTGTATGTATTTGTTTCCATAAATGGATCCATTTATGGAAACAAAATACATACAATGTTTCAACCGCTGTATGGAAGGACAGTCCCACAACTGTCATTAATAGTCTATTTCTGACAGTTCCATGACATTCCCTCCATACAGCGGTTTTAAAAACAGCTGTATGGAGTGAATGTCCCAGATCTATCAGAAATAGACTATTTATGACAGTTCTGGGACATTCACTGCATACAGCTGTTTTAACCGCTGTATGGAGGGAATGTCATGGAACTGTCAGAAATAGACTATTAATGACAGTTCTGGGACTGTCCTTCCATGCAGCGGTTGAAACATTGTATGTATTTGTTTCCATAAATGGATCCATTTATGGAAACAAATACATACAATGTTTCAACCGCTGTATGGAAGGACAGTAACTGTCATTAATAGTCTATTTTCTGACAGTTCCATGACATTCCCTCCATACAGCGGTTAAAAACAGCTGTATGGAGTGAATGTCCCAGATCTATCAGAAATAGACTATTTATGACAGTTCTGGGACATTCACTGCATACAGCTGTTTTAACCGCTGTATGGAGGGAATGTCATGGAACTGTCAGAAATAGACTATTAATGACAGTTCTGGGACTGTCCTTCAATGCAGCGGTTGAAACATTGTATGTATTTGTTTCCATAAATGGATCCATTTATGGAAACAAATACATACAATGTTTCAACCGCTGCATGGAAGGACAGTCCCAGAACTGTCATTAATAGTCTATTTCTGACAGTTCCATGACATTCCCTCCATACAGCGGTTTTAAAACAGCTGTATGGAGTGAATGTCCCAGATCTATCAGAAATAGACTATTTATGACAGTTCTGGGACATTCACTGCATACAGTGTTTTAAACCGCTGTATGGAGGGAATGTCATGGAACTGTCAGAAATAGACTATTAATGACAGTTCTGGGACTGTCCTTCAATGCAGCGGTTGAAACATTGTATGTATTTGTTTCCATAAATGGATCCATTTATGGAAACAAATACATACAATGTTTCAACCGCTGCATGGAAGGACAGTCCCAGAACTGTCATTAATAGTCTATTTCTGACAGTTCCATGACATTCCCCCATACAGCGGTTTTAAAACAGCTGTATGGAGTGAATGTCCCAGATCTATCAGAAATAGACTATTTATGACAGTTCTGGGACATTCACTGCATACAGCTGTTTTAACCGCTGTATGGAGGGAATGTCATGGAAACTGTCAGAAATAGACTATTAATGACAGTTCTGGGGACTGTCCTTCAATGCAGCGGTTGAAACATTGTATGTATTTTTGTTTCCATAAATGGATCCATTTATGGAAACAAATACATACAATGTTTCAACCGCTGCATGGATGGAAGGACAGTCCCAGAAAACTGTCATTAATAGTCTATTTCTGACAGTTCCATGACATTCCCTCCATACAGCGGTTAAAAACAGCTGTATGGAGTGAATGTCCCAGATCTATCAGAAATAGACTATTTATGACTCCTTCTGGGACATTCACTGCATTCAGCTGTTTTCTCGCTGTATGGAGGGAATGTCTTCTCACTGTCAGAAATTCTCCTCATCTATTAATGACAGTTCTTGGGACTGTCCTTCTCCTTCCATGCAGCGGTGAAATTCATGTATGTATTTGTTCCATAAATGGATCCATCTATCTCATAAAACCTTTCATACAATGTTCTCATCCGCTCTTCTTCTCATGGAAGGACAGTCCTTCTCTTCTCATTAATCAGACTTCTCATCTACTTCTGACAGTTCTTGACATTCCCTTCTCATACAGCCACTTGAAAAAAAACATCCTTGGAGGGAGGATGTCCTTCTCTTCTCCTTTTCAATCATGTCCTTCTCTGGGCATCAAGGAGTCTTCATCCTTTCCTTCTTCTTCTTCCTTCTCTTCCAGGAGAAGGAGATCCTTCTTCTCATCCTTCTCCTTCTTCTCATTCCCTCTCTTTCTTCTCCTTCTTCTTCATCCTTTCTCCTTCTTCTCCTTCTCCTTCTCCTTCTTCTCAAGGAGGAGATTCTCTATCATCCTTCTTCTCATCCTTCTCCTTCTTCTCATCTTCATCCTTCTCCTTCTTCTCATCCTTCCTCCTTCTCCTTCTCTTTTCTTCTCTCCTTCCTTCTTCTCATCCTTCTCATCCTTCTCCTTCTTCTCATCCTTCTCCTTCTTCTCATCCTTCCCTTCTTCTCCTTCTTCTCTTGAAGGAGGAAATAGATCTATTCTTTCTCCTCAAGGAGATCCTTCTTCTCCTTTCAAGGAGGAACTCATCCTTCTCCTTCTCATCTGAGAGTCCTTCTTCCTT